AAAGGTATAGAGTGGTTAGAAAACGAAGGTTTTGAAGACTGCTATTGGAATGAAACTGGCCTTGGAGGCAGCTGCAAGTAAGGTTTAGCCCCATCACTTCACCGGACTTGGCATTGCACGTGATACCCTCCCAGTTACAACAGTCAATGTTATTTTTCCATGACTGCGTCTTCGGATGAAAACCAGAAGTAGGACAATCAGAATTAGGCTTTCCAATCTCAAACTCGTTCTTGAACTTGAGAAGTGCATCCTTTTGCTCAGGACGACACAAGTGCCCAGTAGGAGCCGCAAACACGTCATGAGAACTATAGATGAATAATAACAAGAGAAAAGAAAGAGTAATCGGAGTCCAAGAGCCTTTCATCTTTCTCAAAATTAATTTAACTTTCTTGAATATCAATAATGAAAGAGCAAAAAATAATGTAAGTTTCTAATGATAACATGGTTTCCTTCTCATCTCTTTATATACATACCAATAGACTCGGGACTCACTATAATTAGTCTTCCTACCAAAGTGTTTTTCACGTCCAACCCATAAAATGTTGAATATTCAATTTTCCAAACATTTTGGACCCCCTACTTTGACCAATCGAATGAAACGGAATTATACAGTCTGCACAAACAAAAATAACTGCCAAAAGTCATTGTGAGGAAGAAATACAGATCATGTGGATAGATATTCCAAAAGTTAACAACGAAATCCAAATTATTATTATCAGAGCCTAAGTTAACTTTGACAAGGAAGAAATCCAAGGAAGCTGTCTCATAGATCACACCCCCAGACAGTCAGACACACCAAAGTGTAGAGCAGCATGGCAAAACCCGACCGAAGATCGATTTCCTGAGAAAAACAAACGACAATGGATGCTAAAAAGTGTCTGAGGTCTAAGCATCTTTGTTATTTACATGAAATTAAGTTCATGTAACTGTTGGAAACATGAATGAAGAGAGAACCTGCATCAAAAAGTGTAGGCTTCGGCTATCAGGAGCAAGACCACCGATTTGAGAAGTAGAGGTGAAAGCATATCCATTTGTTAGCCTCAAGTATGCGTCTCTCTGGTCAACTCTAAAAGTATACCTTTTTTTTGGGGTAAAAACTCTAAAATTATACTTCACTGCAAAAAGCAGACCAAGTCCCAATTGCCTTCTTATTGATTTTGAGGCAGACCAGCTCGTGATACTTGCTTGATAGAAGACCGAGAGAAAGTCCGAGACACCAGTTCGCAAGATGAAAACTTCAGCCAATCTTTGAGTCGAAAGGTAAAGACGGCATATACATCCCCAAGAAAACCTCAGCAGAGTTGTCACATCCATAAACTATAGACATAGCCAAAAATGTTTTTATACTTCAAAGATGCTACAGCGCTTGATGATCTAGCCTACAAGAGTATCGCAGTTATGCCTACCTCTACAAATTTATCAAATAAGATCACACAGAAGTATAAAAGAGTAATCAACATTACCAAACCAGAAACAGCTTCATGAAGACAACAAATCCAAAGCTTAGTCTTCTCAAAGCTGAGTATCTAATCACTCCATATCTCATCAAGTCGTCATCAAAACACACTTGTCCATTCTCGCTGTGAATTCCCTGAGTATGTGAAATGAAAATTTGTTGCTGCAAAATAAATGTATGTCTAATAAGAACGGCAGACAACTGACTCCGATCTCTCTTTAAATATAATCTATTTAGTAGATCAGCCTAAACGTTAAACTCCTCTTCTCAAGCCTCTTTCGCTTCACGTCTCTGTTCTTTATGTATAAGATCGATTTTGATTCTCTGTTTATCGCCTAGTTCTGCTTCTTCGTGTTCTATGTTCGTTTCACATCTCTCTGAATAGTCACGGCTTACACACTCTCGTTCTTCGTGTTCTACTCTGATAGATCGTCGCTCTCTCTTTCGTTTTCGACCATTGAAAGCATCAGCATCAAAGTATATTACAGTTTCTTCATAGCTTTAGGTTTGTAATGCACTATTACCGAATTTATCCCATGATTGATTTAGTCGACATCTGTTGGAGAAAGAACATTTGATCGCTAAAGGGCTATCTGAATCAACAGAATAGCTTGTTCATTTTGTGGTTGATGTTTAGATGACAGAACAGGGGAAGAAATAATACATATTCAATTGAGTTCCACTACTTTTCGAGGCTAGGAAACATAATTGTTCGATTACAGAAAAACAAACAAGCGGCTAGAAAACAGAGTAGTCTTTCTATCAAGTGTTCTCCACGTCGAAGACTACAACAAGTCTTGAATAGTCAATTTTCATACATTTTGGTCCCCCTGCTTTAGTTACCAGAAATTTCAAAAAAGTTGTTTGTCCAACCAAATGAAACGGTATACACAAACAAAAATAGTTACCAAAGTCTTTGTGAGGAAGAAAATCAGATGTGGATAGGTATTACAGAAGATACCACCACTACAAAACAAACTGATTTTTTTTTTTTAATTCAAACTGCGATATATAGTTTGTACACCTCGTTTTTTTAAGAGGGGTTTTTTTAAAACAAAAACAAAACCTAAAAAGTTTTAAAGATAGATAACTCTACGGCGAACAAATCTCTTTCTATTTTGTTTATTATTCCCTCGTGAAATCCAAAAAAAAGAGAGAAATCCATAGAAACATGACAAAAAGATCAACTCTTTCTAAACATTTCGCAGATTCAACAATGTAATTTAATTTGCCTGAAACCAAAGATTCTGCCAGACATTGGCTCGGTTTAAGAAAAAAAAAAATGAAAGGCCATATCATATTGAGTACCTTCTCAGGAGGCGGCCGAGAATGTCAGGAAAAACCCGGATCTCGCACGATCGTGTTCTTGTTTCTTCAATATTTGGCAGTAGTTAAGCTGTCTCATAACAAAAACAAAATAAAAACATGGATAATTTCAGTGTTAATCATCTCACTTCCATTCGATAAAAAAAAAGCACAAAGGATAGTAGTGATGAGAACCAAACCTCCATACGGAAGAGACTAGTTGGCAAGACGATTCCAGCACCAACTGAAGTTCTGAATGTCTCCAAGAACTTTGGAGCAGTGAAGTTTCTAAACTCGTTCTCTGATAGCTTTGTCATATTCCCTGCACAAGCAAACACATGACCGTGGATTCCTCTCTCGCTTAACCACTTCACTGGCAAATCAAATGAGAGGTCCGCAAATGCAGTGACCGCAGCATCTCCTCCAACAAAATCTCTTTCATCATCGCCTTTGCTCTTTGGTTCGTTTGGACCAGCTCCTCTGCTCTTGAATCCCCATAGTGCGGATGGCCCACCTAAAGCGCATACAGGCGATGAATTGCCACCCAAGAAGAATCTCTCTGGCACAGAGGAAGGGCGGTTCTGGTATCCGCTTCCCCATGGAAAGGTGACACCACCAGAGACACCAAAGTTTAGAGCAGCATGGCCAAACCCGAACGGAACAGCATACCGAAGATCGATTTCCTGTGAAAACAAATGACAATTGATGCTAAAAAGTGTCACAGGTCTAAGAATCTTGTTTTTTTACTTTCACAATGAGGATAAGTTAACTTTGACAAGGAGATTGCGATACAACTTTCCTAATCGTTAGTAAGTTCGTGCATATATTGGAACTAAGAATGAAGAGGAGACGAACCTGCTTCAAAAAGCGTAGGCTTCGGCTATCAGGAGCAAGACCACCAATTTGAGAAGTGGAGGTGAAAGCATATCCACTTGTCGGCCTCAAGTAGGAGTCTCTCTTGTCATATTTAAAAGTATATTTCAAGGCAGAAAGCAGACTATGTCCCAGTTGCCTCCTTATTGATTTTGAAGCAGATTGGGATGGGTCTATCAGGTTACGCCACGCAACCGTGTAGACCAGCTCATGATACTTGGTTGAGAGAAGACCGAGAGAAAGTCCGAGAGATCGTTCTTTATAAGATGAAAACTTAAGCCAGTCTTGAGTCGAAAGGTAAAGACGGGAAGTAAAAGGAGTAGGAAGTCCTATGAACTTCGGCAAATACATCCCCAAGCCAACCTCAGTAGAGTTGTCACATCCATAAACTACAGACCCGTCCCAAATATCTCCATATCCAAAAATGTTCTTATATTTCAAAGATGCTTCAACACTTGATGATCTAGCCTACAAGAACATCACAGCTATGTCATCTCTAAAGCTTCTCCAAGTATAAAAGAGTAATCCAAACTATCATCACTGTACAAATTCAACTCTATAGATGCGAAAACTCAATTGAATTCAAGCAGTGAAGTGTTGAGATTAAGAGTAATACCTCAGCTCTAGTGTAGGCACCGATTTGGCCAGTGAGGGGGTTTTTGTTCTCGACAACTTCGATTACGACATTAGTGGTACCAGGAAGCTCTGGAGGACCAGAATCGAGAGTAATGTTGACAGAATCAAAGATATCTAGCGCACGGAGATTCGAATTAGCAACCCTAGAAGCTTCGAGAAGCTCCTGCAACGTGGTCGCCTCTCTCACAGCATCCACTTCCGCCTCGATGATATGGTCTTTGGTCTTCTCGTTTCCTCTGACGATCACGTCGTGAACACGCACCGGCACTGGGGCAGCTCGCATCCGACGGAACAATGATTCCGCCTTGATCCTATCCACACTGGATCGACCCTCGCGCGTTTGAGACTCCGATGTTGTA